TGCCACTGCCCTCTAGCCTGGGTGACAGAGTGAGACTCCCACTCAAAAAAAAAGAAACATACAGAAGCATTCAGAAACTTTGAAACTTTTACATGAAGCAATGACTCCAGAATAATTCCTCATGAATTCAGGTAAAATGTTCATTGATGAAATAAAACTACTGATGGGGGAGCTCTTCATGATGTAGATGATTTTACAACCCTGATTCTACCCTGATTCAAGTCTCCACAGAGAATATTTCTCAATTCAGACTAAATGACTTACGTTCTGTTTTCACTCTGTGTGGACCCAGTGTAGCCATTGCCTGATAAAAATTAAAAAAAAAGAAAGAAAGAAAGAAAGCTGAGTTCAGACTGAAAATATATTTTGATATCTATTTGATATATAACACTAATGATTAGCACAATAACAAATGCAGTAAAATATAACCATTAGCTGTTCTAATTCATTTTTAATGTTTAAGACCACAAAGAATACACATTAAGGATAACAATTTAACAATTTCTTCTAGAAGTGTTTTCAATATCTTAAATAATCTCTAATTCCCATCCAAGAAGTTCATAAAAATGGAAAAATGTAATATGAAAAGACATCTCCAATTTCAAACACACAGAAAAGACTATAATTCTTGAATATTTAATGATAGAAAGTAAGACATATATAAGGGTTCAAATGCTCATTTTTGTTCACTCAACAAATACTTATTGAGTGTCATCTGTAAGCCATGACCAGGCAAAGGACTAGACACAGACAATGATATTATTATTTGGGGGCAAACTAAATAAATGCTTTTCTGTAATTTTGCATAAATTATGAATTACATTATTACAGAAAATACAATCAAGCTGTGGACAAGTCTCTAATTCCTAAAATATTTTTTCAGTCCACTATTATCTGCAATAGTATTAATTGCTTTAGAAAAAAATGTTGGAAAAGCAAAGCATATTTACAGTAGTCATATTTTGATGTATAAGTGAAAAACCATAGAATCTTAAAAAACAGACTATAAAAACATGCTTGTGTTCCATAGCTCTTTAATCATACCTTCCTAATTGTTGTCCAGTCTTCAAGAATATCAAGATCTTGCAGCATATAAACTATATATGGACGTTGAAAAGTAAAGGTCAATTTATTTGTAAGAATACCACAAACTTTGGCCTGGAGTGGTTGCTCACACCCATAATCCCAGCACTTTTGGAGGCTGAGGTGAAAGGATTGCCTGAGCCCACAGGTTCAAGATCAGCCTGGTCAACTTGAGGAAACATCTCTACAATAAATCAAAAAAATTAGTCAGTCATGGTGGCATGTGCCTGTAGTTCCAGCTATTTGAAAGGCGGAGACAGAAGGATCTCCTGAGTCCAGCAGGTCAGGGCTGCGGTGGCTATGAGCGTGCCTTGCACTCCAACCTGGGTGACAGAGTGAGACTCCAACTCAAAAAAAAAGCATACCATACTTTGAATTATATTTCCAAAGTTCTATGCTTCAGAGAACAGAACAATGATTTATGGACATAATCCTTCAACATCTTGAATTCTGACTTCAAATTACTTTTCAAAATACTTAGAGCCAGGCTCGGTGGCTAAGCCTGTAATCCCAGCGCTTTGGGAGGCTGAGGTGAGTGGATTGCCTGAACCTGTGAGTTCGAGACCTGCCTGGGCAACTTGATGAGACCTCATCTCTACAATAAGTCAAAAAAAAAAATTAGCCGGGCATGGTAGTACGCATCTGTAGTTCCAGCTACTTGGAAGGCTGAGGCAGAAGGATCACAGGAGCCCAGTAGTTCGAGGCTGCGGTGGCCGAGAGCGGCCACGGCACTCCAGTCTGGGTGATGGAGTGAGACTCCAACTCAAAAAAAAATACTTAGTACCAGGATAAATACATTCTACTGCTTCTGAGGCCATAACCACATTCCCTTAACTCTATGATATTGATTGTAAGATATACCACCAACCTAATCACTGTTTTTAATGTGGAAGAGAAGAAAGATGGGGGCAGGGGGATGGTACCACAGGGAATGCCAAGATTGAAAACACGTATTAGTTCATACTCCAATTTCAGAAACATACAAAAATGTATTTTAAAAATACACATGAGCTAGGCACAGTGGCACATGCCTGTAATCCCAGCACTTTGGGAGGCCGAGGTGGAAGGAATGCTTGAGCCTGGGAGTTCAAGATCAGCCTGGGCAACATAGCGAAATCTTCTACAAAAAAATTAAAAAGTTAGCCAGACATGGTGGCATGTGCCGTAGTCCCAGCTACTTGAGATGCTGAGTTGGAAGGATTACCTGAATCCAGGAGGTCAAGACTGCTGTGAGTTGTGATAGTCCTGATCATGCCACTGTACCCAAACCTTGGGCATCAGAGTGAGACACAGACTCAATAAAAAAAAAAAGTATACATGAGAATTAAACAATCATGCTGTATACTTAACAGCTGTTTCACATCAAAGCCCTTGGTGAACTATAAAGCCATCTTAACTTCCAAAGCTGAGATCATGACAAAATCTCTTCTCCTCTCCCTCTCCTCTTAATCTAAACTATATCCTTTGTCTTCAGTTGGTTTTATAAATCATCTTTTGCTCACTACAGGATCATGCAAATAAGTCAATGTGTACAAATAAAAGTTATAAAGGTAAACACGATGAAAAAGTATACATCAGGGGAAAAAAATCCAGAAAATTTGGAAAAGGATATCTGAAACAACAACTGGCTTCTTTTTGTCAGGACTGAAAGGATCCTTCCTCTTTTTTCTTGACTGAAGCTCATCATTCCACAGCTCTGTCAGGTAGATAAAAATTAAGTGTTAGCTGATTTCTAGTGATCAAAAGAGAAAAAAAGACTATCATTTTATGGTGACTACTTACATATAAAACTGTACAAAACTTCATTCATACACAGCTATAATACTTATACGTTTTCCTCTGACTTTATTAAAGCAAAAATCAGCTTGGCACTTAATGACTAAGAATTGATGAGCATATGTCAAGCACTTTGTAAAATATAATACAGAGGATGCCAAAAATATGTATACACATTTCAAGAAAGGAAAAAACTGCACTAAATGGTAATACTCAATATATACCAATAACAAAAGATTAATGCAAGTCACATTTGACTTCTGCAATTACAAGAGGTGCTCCAAGTGGTGATCATCATGGTCAGACACTTCCAATTATGGCAAACTATTGCGGAACTTGCTGTGCGAGGCCTCCTGGATCTTCCTTTGTGCACATCACACACAGTACCATGGATCTCAAACTTATCACGAATATGTATAATTGCTAGGCGTTTTAGAGGTTCTGTTGCATATGCATGCCTTCACTATCATTGTACTTCCACAACGTTCTCAAATTTCAAATACCACTTCAAAGTGGTCTTTGGCTTCTCGAATGACAACTGTGTTTCTGCCATTTTCTTTGACTGTCCTTTCTGTTGCATGATGATGCTAGCATTCACTTTATCAATACCATCTTTTGAGCAAACATCATACTGCACATTGCTACGGAAATTCAATTCAACTTTGAACAGTAATACATAGATAACATCTCTTAAAACGTGTATACAATTTTTTGGCACCCCCAGTATATTACATGCATTATCTCACCTAATCCTCAAAGCTACCGCTGAGATAGGTATGCTTATTACTTCCCTTTTAGAGACAAGGAGACTGATTTAGAAAAGCTAAGTAATTGTCCATGGCCACCCAACTAGTAGATGAGGGAGCATTGATGTTAGGACTCAGCTTATCTGACTCCACTAAGCCTACTATATATCAGAGAAATAAAATTTATAACAGATAAAATAATACATGTTCAAGAACTATAGAATAACCATTAAACCTTCCACCCAGTGTTGAAAACCATTCCATGATACCCCGAGAAAGCCAATTTCACATTGGACTAATCTAATTATTAATAAGTTTTCCTTTTTCTGAGACAAAGATCTACCTCCTGTAACTTCTATAAGTTTGCCCTAGCTTGTCTAATGCCAAAGAGAAAAGGTTTTTATTCCTTCTTCCACATGACAGTCTTACAAGACTTAGAGGGAAGAACACATATGGTGGCTGTCTTCCAATGCACTTGTTATAGTAGTTTTCTGTCTCACTTCTATTTTGTCCCTTTCAATGTGCTCCATTTTTTATGTCTTTCTAAATTGAGAGTTCAAATTAAAGTAACAATCACAATCATATCAAACTCTTTAGAAGCCTTCCCCTTTTCCCTCTTATTGGGACATTTCATTTACCTTGCATTAATATTTGAAGATTAAGATAACATGAGACACTTCAGTAAACCAAAGTTTGGTGCCACAGAAACATCACAATCACATCCTTCCCCTACCTGAGGTAATATCAATACTGTGTCTATCCTCTTCAAGCCGTCTTATCTTCTCCTCTAGTTCACTCTGGACTGTATCATACAACAAAAGCTTTTCACTCTACGGGAAAAAAAAGATTATACTTAGAAAGTAGAAAGAAAAAATTGGTCTACCTTAACCAAGAGTACCAAATAACTTGAAGTATTTTAATTTAGAGGTATTTGTTTGTTTATAGGCATTCGCTTAAGTTCAACTTAAAAATTTTAAAGAAGACTCAAATACATGAAAGTAAACTAGATAATACAGAATCTAAATGTAGATCTAACTACATGCAATTTCATTCTATAAGAGCATCTAAATTTATGCATGACAATGAGGTAAATATTTACCTTATAAAAAATTCATAGCAAGTGCCCATGAAGCTTAAATATAATCAGGTCCTACCTGTCACCATAATAGAAAACTTGTCCTATAAAATATATCTTTATAAGATGGATCATATTTTTTCACAAGAATGATAATTGGGTCATTATTCCTCACTAATATCTCAGTATCATATTAAAATAGACTAATATGTCACCGAAAGATTCAAATACAAATTTTATAATTATTTTAAATAATTCAATTATAATTTAAATTATAAAACTACAGACCAATTATATCCATTATATCCAAACCTCTCCACAAACTACAGATGGATTGAAATGCTAAAGTACACAGACTGACAGATCAGACTGGAACCCAAGTCTACTGGTTCTAGTTCACTGTTTTCAATTTTATAACATTGTAGCACTATTTTAAAAAGCCATAATATATACACAGCATAATATATAAAGACTGATTTTATGAGAAAACTACGACCACATGCTTAGCCCTAGTAAAAATATTACTCTATCAGGATATAGCTAGAAATGACTGTCTTGTAGAAGCTATTGGGATATAGTTAGATAGGACTTCTTGTGGAAGGCATAGGTCACACCCATGGAGGCAGCATTCCCAGTGTCAATCATGAAGCACTCTCTTTTGAGTTTCAAATTAAAATTTACACATGTTTGAAGAGTCTCCTGAGTGGCAGGGAAAAGATGAATTGTCAATTAGAGGCAAGCCAGGAGCTAAGGAGAAAAAAAGCTAAAGAAGACTAAAACAAGATCTCATATGAAAAACTGTCATGTTGCATTCTGCTCTGCGTACTTACTTTCTTTCGCTTGTTCCCTTGTCTTTGGTAAAGTCTTATGAAATATTCCAGCTTTCTTTATCTACATTGTGCTACAAGAATTAGAAGATGTTATATATCAGAGAAAAGGGGAAAGCAGGTGTCTCCAGTCAAGACAGCGCTGCAGTTATAAACATCCAATTTCCCCAACCAAAGATGACTCTAAATGTAGAGCTGGAGTGGTAAGGTTTTGGCTTTTAAGAATATGAACATTTGGCCAGGCACAGTGGCTCATGTCTATAATCCAGCACTTTGGGAGCCGAGGTAAGAGGATTGCCTGAGCTCATGGGTTCGAGACCAGTCTGGGCAACTTGGCGAGACCTCATCTCTACAATAAATCAAAAAATTAGCCGGGTATGGTAGTGCGCACCTGTAGTTCCAGCTACTTGGAAGGCTGAGGCGGAAGGATCACCTGAGCCCAACAGGTCGAGACTGCAGTGGCTGTGAGCGTGCCACTGCCCTCTAGCCTGGGCGACAGAGTGAGACTCCAACTCAAAAAAAAAAAAAATGAACATTTAACTAGTGTATTCTCTTTCCTTCCCATTTATTGATAATCTTCCCCAGGTCAAGCAGAAATTCTAAAATAAGTTCAAATAATCATTCTTTATCATTTAAAAAAGCCACAATGAGTCTAAAATGTTTGAAGCTTTGAAGGCATCTCTAAAGCTATCAGAGGTGTATACTTTAAAGTACACAGATAGAAGTACCTTGAATCTATTCTCATTCTTATTTCTCTCCCCCTTTTTTAGTAAGTTCTTTCCCATTTCTCCAACCTTGAAAGATCTAAAAGGCTTCCCTGAAGAGAAAAAAAAGTCATCATAAAAAAAGAGAAAAAAAAGTCATGCAGCTAGAAGATACTTGGAAAAGAAAGGGGAAAACTCCCTTGCTTTGGTACCTGTAAGAGTATCTGTGTTCATTAGGTATTTTCGTTTTGTTTTTTTTTCTTTTGTAGTTTTCTTTTTTTTGTTGTTTTATTTTAAAGTTGTGGGGTACAAGTCAGGATTGGATACATAAATGGTTTAGGTACAGGTGAAGTTTTGGGCCTATCGCTGGACCTCACTTCGCCTGGATGAGGATCAGGCACCCATACTGGTGTTATGTGCACCCCCTAGTTTTTAAAAAACACCACTTATAAGCACATATTTGGCTTCAAGATCCCATATCCCTCCAATCTCCACATTCTAAATGTATTGGATCTGCTCACAAAGCCTCTTCGCAGGCTGACACCTATCTGTTTCTCATCATGGGAGCTTTAAGAAGCCAAGGAAAGTGGCCCCAAGGTTCCATTTCTGTACAGACCTCACACTGCCCTGTATTCCGAACCAAGTCCCCTTTGGCAGTTCCCTGACTTAGGTACCTCACAGTTTACAACCTTCCATCAGAATGGAGCCCTGGAAGATTTTTAAGAGCTGACATTATCAGAGACTGACACATTAAAAAGTTACAATAGTTTTTGGTTTTGCTTTTAAGTATACTACACTGGAACAAAAAATATGCAGAACAGAATTTTAAAACCCAGAAAAAACCCTGCTTATGGGAAAATTGTAACAGTGACTTTTCCTAACATCTGAAAATCTGATGACAATAAATGACAACAGCAAAATGAGTTTAACTACATCCTGAGTATTTTTTTTTTTTTTTTGCTTTACAACATACATAAAAATAAATGGACAAAAAGTTAAATTTATAAAATAAAACTTAAAAAAAGCTATTAAAAAACAACGTAAGAAATTCCCCAGAACTGAAGATGAGTTTCCTGATTAAAAGGTTCATCTGAGTATCCAGCACAATAAATTATAAAAGACCCACAACGAGGTACATCATCTTATTATTCCACAACATCATGGATAAAGAGAACAGCTAAAGGTATTCAGGAGGAAAACAGGTCACCTACAAAGGATCAGGAATCAAAATGATAAGAGACTTCACCAAAGCAACACTGGAAGCTAGAAGACAATGGGACAATGCCTTCAAAATTCTGAGGAAACACGATTACTATCTAGAATGCTATTCTTAGGTGTGAGAATAAAGGTATTTTGGGTCAGGAAGGACATGGTGGTTTTAAAACATGTCAAATAATTCTCTGATACTCCTAACTTCAAAACATAGAGACTAATTTCTCTCTCTCTGAATATGGGTAGGACTTAGTGACTCTCATCTAATGAACAGAATGTAGCAGAAATGTAGGTCATAAAAAACACTGTCACTCCTGTCCTGTTCTAGGAGAACTTAGCCATCAGGTTATAAGGACATTCACTCAGCCTGTAGAGATGACCACAAGAGGAGAACCAAACTCTCCAAACAAAACCCAGCAACAACTTGCCAGCCTTGTGAGAAGTCACCTTGGAAGTGGGTTCTCCAGGTTCCAATCAAGGCTTCAGATAACTGCATCCCTGATTAAAACATTGTGCTACACTAATATCTTCACTGAAACTTCATATTCCCTGAGCCAGAACTACTCAGCTAAGTTGCTCTCAAATTCCTGGCCACTGAGACTACAAAAAAAACAAATGTTTATTATTGTGCTAAGCCAGTTTTGGAGTAATTTATTATAAAGCAGTAGACAAACAATACAAGAAGTCTCAAAAAAACTAACATATAAATCCCCTCTCAGGATGTTACTGTAAGATAGTTCTACTAAACTGAAAGGGAAAATGAGATCTAGCAGCAAAGAGGTGAAAGGAATGTTTAGGTTGATAAGAGATGCTCCGTGAAGACAGAGATGTGGTTGGCCTAGAAAGCATCTGAAGGATGGAGCAAGACAGGGGATTGATGGGAGAGAGGGGCTGCTTCCGGAAGGAAGTACTTCAGAAGAAAATGGGGCTGAGGGATTGATTATCTGATGCCTTTGATCACATAGAATAGCATTAGAACTTCCATAAAAGCATCTTAATGTAATGCTGGTTTTGTTTGTTTTTTTAATGAATTAAGAAAGGTAAATTTATTAAAGGGACAATATGTTGTGAAGGGCACAATGGACAGGACAACAGCAAGAGTATCTGCTGTCAGCTGATGGTTTTCTTTTTTTAAATTAAGCCAAGCATGTACAGCTTTACTCATTTTTCACAAAGCCTGAGTATTCAGCAAAATGAAAAGCATGTTATGAACTCAAGAAAAGTCAACACAAGCACGGAACCTGTAGTAAGCTTTCAACTGTATGGAGATTTAAATTCATATCCAGTAAAGGTAAAAACACTTTCTCATTCTAAAGTTAGTTGTAAACAGTATCTTCTTGTGACTTCTAGAATGACCTAGAAAAGGCTCCACATTTGCTTTTGTCAGATATTGAAGTTCTAATACTACTTTCTATGTAGTTTTAAAAAGGTATTAGAAAAGGTGTTTTAAACATAGTCTAACTCTTGGCTCAGCAAACAACATTTATAATTTTTAAAAATCATAATATAACAATATTAGAAGAATGGGATGGGGGACTCCTCAGCTTCCATAATAGGAAACCAATAGATAATGTTTAAAACTGCTATTATTTAGAAATATGAGGGCAAATTCCAGAAGCAGTAGGTAAAAGAGTTACACAGATAATTACTACTAGAATACAGAGAATTTAGAAGTAGGACATGGAACTGCTGTTTTTCACTATAAGCCTGTGCCTTCAAAAATATGTACCCATGGCTAGCTCACACCTGTAATTCCAGTGCTTTGGGAGGCCAAGGTAGGAGGATCGCTTGAAGCAAGGAGTTCAAGACCAGCCTCAGCAACATAGTAAGACCCTGTATCTAATGAAAGAGAAACAAATTAGCCAGGTATGGTGGTGCACACCTGTAGTACCAACTATTCAGGAGGATGAGGCAGGAGGATCACTTGAGCCCAGGAGTTCTACGTTACAGTGAGCTATGATGGCAGAACTGCACTCCAGTCTGGGCAACAGAGCAAGATCCTATCTCTAAAA